GCGTCAAGATACATTTCTGTTGTATCATCAATATCATCATTATCATCATCGTCATCATCATTATTATCTTGAATACTCTCGGCACTCTCGTGTGCAGTGATAGATTCATTTTCTTTTATTTCGACTTTCATTATTTTTGATACTTGCTCAGTTGGAAGAAAAGCGTAGTATTTGCATCCTTCAAAATCCACAATTTGCCATGGTTGCATTTCAATTGATTCATTTCCATAAATAAAACATCCGTCTTCGATTGAAACTCTGAAATGAAGAAAATGTAAATCAGTGGAATTCTTGGCTTGTCACAAAAAAAAAAAATTATCATCATCACTTTCTTTTTTTTTTCAATATTTTCCACTTGAACAATTCTGCGTGCAAAGAAATAGTTCGTAGTGTATATTTAAAATTTTTCTTTTAGAAAAAATAGAAAATAAAATGAAAATTACTATATTTTCTATTTAGAAAATTTGCAAGGAAAATTAGAAGGATTTTTTTATTATAAATTTTACTCTCATTAATGTTATTTTTTTTCTTTTATTCAATTTTTTTTTTTCGTGAAAATTTTTTATTTTAGAACATTAATTTTTTAACAATCATTTTTTCAAACAAGGAATTACAAATAAATTTTAATTTACATCAATTTTTGCATAATTTACTTTGTCGTATTACATTAAAATCTTATGTTTAAAGTTACGATGAAAAAATTATTTTAAATAATAGTATTGTATTATATATTTATTCAATATTATAGTATTAATATTAATTATTAGTATTTAATCTGTTTTTTTCGGATAATTTGGAAAATAAAGCGCCTGAAGAATTAACGAATATTCGTTTAGTCAAATTTTGGATTTAGAATTTTCTTTTAAACGAATTTTCAAAATTTCTTTATATGTACTTAATTAGAATTTTTAGGCCATTGAATATAAAATTTTGTTTATAAAAATTAGAATTAACATTTGAATGGAGAATTATATTAATTGAAAAAAAAAAAAATGGGAGTGTAAAATAAATTTTTTTGCGTTATCTATTCATGACGTCACTTAAAATATGATCAATGAGAACCCTTGGGAGTGGTGGATGTGAGCCAGGATGAGATTTTCGATGACTGATAAGTCCGGGTTTTTGTGTGAATGATTTGCCACAAATATCACAAACATAAGGTCGAATACCAGTGTGAATTAATAAATGTTGTTTAAGTGCTGTACGACGGGCAAATGATTTTGTACAAATTGTACATGAATATGGTTTATCGCCAGTATGAATTCTCATGTGAATTTTTAAACGGCTATGTCTTGAAAATGTTTTTCCACATTCTTCACAAACAGCATTTTCTCTTTGTTCATGTTGTCTCACCATATGTTCATTTAAATTCTCCTGACTCACCATTCGTCTTTTACATAAATGACATTCATATTTTGCCTTATAATGTGCAAATTTTTGATGAACATAAAGTGAATTACTATTCATACATGTTTTTCCGCAAACATCACAAATCACTGGTTGTTCTTTATGTGAAAATCTTACATGATTCGTTAAATCGCCTCTGACTTTAAATTTTTTACCACATGTTTCACAGGGAAATTTATAATCATCAGTATGTTTTCTAATTACATGTATTTTGAGTTCGTATTTACTTTTATTTTTATAATCACACTGTTGACAAAAATAAAATTTCGGTGTATTTATATCATCTTTTTCTGTTAATGAAATTTTTAAATGTTTTTTCTTAATATGAGTGTGTATAAATGTTTTTTTCTTCGCTCTAAAACCACAATAATTACAAATAAAAATATTACTATCATTTATAACGCGATGATGTGATTTATGTATATGAAGAATATTTCTTGTTGAACATGTAAAATCACAAAAATTACAACGATAATTGTTTATTGTTTCTTGTTGATGTTCCTTTGTGACATGATTGAGCATTATTAATTTTTTTACACATTGAAAATTACACTGTGAACATGATAATTTTGTTTTTTGTTTTTTTTGCTCTCTTAAATTGTGTTTTTTCTTTGATTTATCATTGTTGAGATAAGAATTTTCTTCAATTGTGTCAGATAATTGTTCCCAATTAGTATCAATTTCATTTGACGCATGTTTCCAAGCGTGAGCTTCTAAACTTTTTTGTTTAATACAAGTGAAATTGCAAATGTCACATGATAATATTTTTAATTTTTTTTGCCCAACAATTTGTTTACTTTCTAAATGGGACAATTTACTATTACCATCGCCATGGAAATGACGAATTTCCATTTTCCATTTATTGTGAGTCAATTGATGTTGTTGGAAAAGTGTCTCCGATGAAAATGTTTTATTACATTTTTCGCATATGTAAAAATTTTCATTTGATATATAATTTATTTCTTCTTCCTCTTCTTCTTCTTCTTCTACTACTTCTTCTTCTACTTCTTCCATTTCTATTTCTTGTTCCTCTTCCTCTAAATTTTCTTCAATTTTTACGATGCTTGTTGATTTAGTTTGATTGGAATTTTTAATATCCAATGCCGGTAGAAGGGAATATTTTGTTACTCCATTGGAATCCACGTATTGATAGAGACGCATTGGAACTGGATTTGTCTGCAAGATGAATTTCCCCGCTGAATTTTTGATGAAGACTGATTTGCCGAGTTTGCATCTCCTTGAAACAAAAAATAAATTTTATTAATTTCGCTCAATCTTTCGAAAATAATTTCAAATTTTTCAGATAGTAACTTACTTTTTATTCCGATTTCGTTTTTTTTTAGGATTGGTAAGATATTTCAAAACATTTTTATTTAATTTATTTTTTTTTTTATTATAAAAAACAAACTTTAAAATACTGTACAAAATTGGTTTTTCTTAGGAAAATATTTTATATTTGAATTTACAGTATTGTGAAAAAAAACAAATTAAATTACACTTTGGGATGAGAAAATTTTGTTTAATTTTTAAATCAAGACTATTTTTTCATGAAATAACATAAAATTTATTTATTTTAATATTTCGATTTTTTTTTCAAAAATATTTATTTTGAAATATTAAATTTTATAAATATAGACAACAAATGTAACAGTTTTTTTTTTTTTATTTTTTTTTATTTCACACTATTTTCGAAAAAATTGTCTTGATTTAAAAATTAAAAATTTGAATTTAATAGTAATGGTACATGACGTGTATTAAAGAAAGAAAAGCAAAAAATTATAAGTTGCTATTATTTGAATTAATTTTCGCTAGTTCCTTCTCTTCATAAAATCACATAAATCGAAAAAAAGTATATTTTTTTAAATTCTCAAGAAAAAGAAAATATATTTTAAAAATGAAAAAAAAATTCATTCATTCACAGATTTTTTTGATAAGAATTTCTTTTTTTTCTATAATAAATTTTTTGTAAATTAAATTACAATTTTCGATTTAAAAAAAAAACGACTAATTATCAGGAAACGTTGGACAACCGCTACTGCCCAATGGAATTGGAGGCGATGAAAGATGTGCGTCTGGATGTTTTTTTCTATGTTCAATCATATAATATCGTCTCTTGAAACTTTGTCCGCATAAATCACAAATAAATGGTCGCTCCTCAGTGTGTGTAAAAAGATGCATATTTCTCATATGTGATGTTCTAAATGTTTTATCGCACACATGACAATTATATGGTTTTATTTCCGTATGTGTTGTTGAATGTGATGCAAGATAACGTTTTGATGAAAATTGTTTTCCACATTCTTTACATTCATAAGTTTTATTATGTTGTTTCATATGATTATCAAGATTTTTTTGTGTCAATAAACGTTTATTACAAATTGAACATTGAAATTTATAATCATTTAAATGCGTTACTTTTCGATGTTTATAAAGTGAATAATTACTTGTATAAAATTTTCCACATATATCGCACATATGCTGTAATTTACCATGTGTTCCAATGTGAAATTTTAAATCCCATTCCATTTTAAATTTTTTTCCACAATGCTCGCAAAAATATTTATAATCATCGGTATGTTTACGAATATAATGTGCTTTAAGATTGTTTCTTGTTTTTGAACGATAATCACATTTATCGCAAAAATGCATTAAATTTGAATCAATTTCTTGATGTGTAAGACAATGTGATTTTAAATCGCATTTATATTTAAATGCTTTTGGACATGTTGAACATTTAAATGGCCTATGAAAACTGTGTTTACCTTTTAAATGACGTAGTATTTTACTTTTTTGTTCAAATGTCGCTTGACAAATGTCACAAGTATATTTACCGTCATTTAATATTTTATAAAGAACTTCTATTTTTTTTTCACTTTCATTTTCTTCAGCGCTTGCATTTTCTTCGGTTTCGATTTTTATTTCATTTTTCAAATTTTCCATTTCATTTTCAACTTCTTTTATTTCAATTTCTTTATCATTATTTGTTTCTTGTTTTTTGATAACTTTCACTAAAATACTATTACCAGTTGGTGTTGTTTTATTTAATGGAGTTAAATTTAAATTTTTCTTTGAATTTTTCAATTGATTGATATTTTTCAATGGTGTTAATTTTGTCTCTTTTGTTGAATTTGGTGTAATTGTTTGAATAATTATGAATGATTGTAAATTCATTGATTCCGGCTGTTGAAGAGGAATTTTCTCGTTTCTAATTTTTCTAATGTAGACAGGTCGCTTTATCAGTAATTTCTTCTCTTCTGGTTGACTATCCTTTGTTAATGTTGATATCCTAAAACATTAATGACATTTATTAGTGGAAAAAAGAAAAATTCAAATTTACTAAACTATTGCGAAATAAAATATTCATTTCAATAAAAAAAAAAATACATTTTTATTTTCACCTTTAATTTATTTGGAAACGAAAACTAGGGACCTAAAAATAAAGAGAAATTAAAAACAGGAAATGGTTAATTAAAAAACAGTTCCTAATTTTTCTGAAAAAAAAATTTATATTAATTTATAAAAGAAAAAAATTTTTTTAATGTAACGTAAAAAATAGTTTTTATTTTAAAAAAAATGTGTTACATTTCGATTTGTATAACTTATTTTGTTTTATTTTGAAGAAAAAAAAAATGCTTTTTGTCTTTATTTGTAAACAAATTTTATAATTATTTTTTCATTTTATGCTTTATTTGTTTATGATTGTAAAGTGAACCTCTACTCGAATATGACATACCACAAATATCACACATACAAGAATCTTTGTTGTGATCCTGTAAATGATATCTATAATCTGATTGTAATTTAAATTTTTTTCCACAATGTTCACAATTGAAATTATAATTATCCGTATGTTTTCGAATATTATGAATTTTTAAATGATCATTTCTTGTTGTTTGATAATCACAATAATCACAGAAATACAAAACTTTTGGTAAAACATGAATTTTCATATGATTAGATAAATTTTTTTTCTTTACAAATATTTTTAGGCAAATTTTACATTTATAAGTTTTATGATTTGTATGACTGTACATGTGTTCAGTGAGTTTGGTTTTCCATTTAAATGTACATTCACAAATATCACATGTGTAAATTATATTTAATAGTCTTCTTTTATTAATCATTGGTGTGATTGTGAAATTTTTATTTCTCGAACTATTCTCATGAATTAATGATGATTTTTTCTCAATTAAATTATTTATATTTGATTTTCTTTTTTGATGAATTTCTTCTTTTTCGGGAAAATTATTTGTCATTTTTTCAAATTCTGTTTTTTCAGACCAAATATTTTCAATTTGAATTTTAATATTTTTGTTTTGATGACTATCCAGAGGATCTATCGTTTCCCTGCAACAAATGAAAGAAATTTATTTTTTCGTAAAAAAACAAATCTTTTTTTGCTTGATTTAATTGTATTTTTACATTTACCTTTTGTCGATCTAATTAAAAAGTAACAAAAGGTAAATTTTTCTTTTAAAATACATTTTTAATTAATAATTTAAATATATTTTCAAAAAAAAAACTAATAACTTTTTATTTCATGAACAAGTACATTAAATTTAAAATAAAATTTGTACAATTTAAAAAAGAATTACCGAATTTAATTATTTTTTTCGCTGTCTTTTTGGTGCTTTATCGATAATTTTATTCTCCATGTTGAGTAAAAGACTTTTAATATTAATTGACGGTGGTCGAGAATTAACATCGGCGTGTTGCTTTCTTCTGTGCAGCATCATTGGTGATCTTTGTGTGAAACTTTGACCGCAAATATCACATTTATAAGGTTTCTCGCCCACATGTGTTAATAAATGAATTTTTTGCGAACTAATTTGACGAAATGTCTTACCACAAATATTACATAAAAATGATTTTTCATCACTATGTAAATGAATATGTTTAGCGAGATTATATTTAAAACGAAATTCCTTACCACATTGATCACAAATAAATTTTATTTTATGTAATTCAATGTGATTATTTAAATTTGTTTGATTGATAAATTTTTTTTTACAAATTTCACATTCAAATTTTTTCACTGATGTATTATGTCTATATTTAATATGACCGTAAAATGAATTTTTATTTGTAAATGAAATTCCACAAATTTCACATATTAACATTTCAGTTTTATGATCATTTAAATGATATTTATAATCGGTCATTAATTTAAATAATTTACCACAATGTTGACAATTAAATTTATATTCTTGCGTGTGTCTACGAATTTGATGTGATTTGAGAGATGCTTTTATTGTTGTTTGATAATCGCATAAATTGCATGAATAAAAAATATTTGATGCATTGTGAATTTTTTTATGTATATTTAAACTTCTGATGCTTTTAAATTTTTTCGAACAAATTGAACATGCATGTGGTTGAGAAATTGAATGTCTATACATGTGATCAACGAGTCTATTTTTTCGTTTAAATGTTTTTTGACAAATTTCACATGAGTAAATTAATTCCATAGGCGTTGCTTTCTTCTTGATTAATGGTTTTGATTTTTTTTTATTTAAAGACATCTCATCAGATTGCATAGAATTTGTTATTATTTCTTTTTGCTTTCTTTTTGGAGGATTTTTTTCTTCATTTTTTACAATATCCAAAGAATTGATTATTTCATTTTTTTTTGGTGAAATTTTTTCTTGCTTTTTTGTTTTCTTTTTTGGTTTGTCTTTTTCCTTTGCAATTATCTCCAGGGCCTTTGAAATCCGAAAGTAATCAGGTTTTATTTTTAATTTGAATATTGATGAATCCAGTGGATCTTGTAGATAGCACCTAAAATTTGAAGAAGAAAATAATCATAAATTTGACAAACATCAATTTTTTTTTTTTTGATAATAGTTGGGAAATTACTTTTTATATGATAAATAATTATAAATAAAAATTTCTTCATCTTTTATTGATGTTTTCAATTTTATACATTTTAAATTACAACAAATTTCCAATTCCCATAAAACTGGGAAAATAATAAATAAAACACAATAAATTGAAGTCTAATTTGAAAAATCAAGAAACAGAAATATTTTTAAATAATATTTATGAAATATTTTTTTAAAAAAATTATTGTTTCGTTTTACGTTGCTTATGTTAATTTAATTCACTATCCGTTTCATTGGAATGTTTAAATTTATGTCATTTTTTAAATTCGATATTGTTTTATATTCCTTATCACACTGAAAAAAATATGGAACATCTTTTAAATTTCTTTCTGTTCAATGTTTTTTTTTTAATCACCTTTCACTACACTCAATTTTTTTTCTTCATTGTCTTGAATTATTTTATTATTTTTGGGCACATTTTCAATTTCTAAAAGAAATTTTGTTGATAATTATCCATATTTATAAATTCACCTTTTATTTGCACGTCAATTTCGCTGAATAACGCTAAAAAAAAAATTTGGTTTAAAATTAAAATGTAAAATAATATTTTAAATTAACTTAATATTGTAATTAAGTTAAAAAATTTACAAGACGCGAAAAAATGTAAATTTTTTTTTTTTTGCTCTGGAAAAATCTATTTATTTTTCAACATTTTTTTTTTTTTTTTTTTTACAAAATGAAAAAAGAGAAAAAGAATATAACAATAGAAGGAGAAAAAAGAATATATTTTGCGAAAGATATTAGAGTTTTTCTAAAACATTTCTAGCGAGTTCGGCGATGGACGTTCGAGGTATAAAAGTCGGAAGTGGTCCAGGATGTTTTTTTCTGTGCGTGATAAGATTAGTTCGTTGTGGAAAAGTTTTGTTGCAAACATCACATTTATAAGGCCTGATGCCAGCGTGTATTAAAATGTGTTGATGATAAATGCTTGTTTTATAGAAAATTTTTTTACATATTTTACACGTTATTCCCGGTTTATGTTTGAGCTTATGACTCATTAGAAGATTTGATGATTTCAATTCGAGACCACATTCTTTACATGTGTACCTTCTATCCACTGGTTGATGATTAAAAAGTCTCGTTTTACTTACAATTAGAAATTTCTTTTCAAATAAATTTTTTTCACTTCTTTTTTTTATTTCATCTTTGTAAAAAATTGATGATTCTTGTTGTTGAAAACTTTGCTTTTTAATTGAGATAATCTTGTTTTGATGAATATATAGAGGATCATTCATTTCCCTGAAACAAATAAATTACGTCAATAAGAAGAAAAATGTACTTTCTTTTAAGATTTAATATTTTCAATTTGTTTAAAAAAAAAAATGTCCAATTACCTTTTAATTGCATATATATTTAATTATGCCGAATTACATGAAAAATGTTTTGTGAAAATTCAATATTTTTTCTCTCGATAGAGAGTAAAATTCTTCATTTTAAATTTGAAGAATTTAAATTTTTTCTTCTTTATAAAAATCAATTTTTCAAAGTTATTTCATCAATGTTAAAGAATTGAAATAAATTTTTTAATATTTTCGAAAATTTAAAAATTATTGAGTTGACAATTTTTTAATAACAATTTCGGTGATATTATAAAAATAAATAGAAAAATATTTGTTATATAAAAATAAGAAATGTATTTACTTTTTTTTTAACAATAAATTACAAACTTTTGGCAACAATTTTTTTTTTTAACTTTTCTTATCACAACTGAAAATATGTTTTACAAGATAGGATTTAGCGGCATATTTTTTTAAACATCTTGGACATTGAAATTTGTTTTTACTTTTTTTCGAACATGCATGTTTATCAAGTAATTTTTTTGTAATGAATGTTTTTTTACAAATTTTACAAGAAAAAATCTTCTTTTCAGCATTGTGAAAATTTAATGTTTTCTTTATACTAAATTTTTTTGGACTATTTGAACATTTATAATGTTGAGAATTTTGTTTTAATTTTAAAGAATTAGTTGGTGATGATTGTCCGCATTTTTCCATATGTATCTTAAAATCGGTGGAAGAAAAATTTTCAAATCGATTTTCACATTTATGACAACGAAGTTTACATGTAATACGATGATTAAGAACAACATGATATCGTAGTCCACATTTTGTGATGAATGAAATTTTACAAAAATCACATTCAAGATTTGAATTTTTTCTCTTTTTTCTCTTTATTGGTAAAAGATGAGATTCAAAGTTTTTATTGGAAATAAAAATTTCATCGCAGAAAAAGCAATTAAATTTTTTTTTATCATTATCTTGTGTTTTTAAATCATTTTTCAAATAATTGTTGCTCTCTAAATTTAAATTATTTAAAAAAAGTTTAAATTTCTTTTGAAATTCGGAATCCTCCTCTTTCATTTGTAGTTCAAAAGTATCTTCTATAAATAGACTCTCACCATTCCTAGAAAAATAAGAATAATGTTAACTTTAACAATGAGAAAAATAATGACACTCTATATTCCTATTTATTCATCAAAAATATTAAGGGTCAAAATTTCGTTTTTTTTTTTGTTATTTTAAGGGAAGCAGGGAATAATTTCGAAAAAAAATAGAGTGACAAAAATTGATTTTCAAAATTACAAAATAATGATAAAATTTTTCAAAGAAAAAAAAAAAAAAACTGGAAAAAATAAATATTTATTTTCAATGTATGACAAAAATTATTCATTATAAACGAAATTTTGATTTTCGATCTTCTTTCTTGATTGAATTATCCTAGGCACTAAATTCTTATTAAACTCCAAATTGATAATTTTTGATTTTAAAATAATAATAAAAAAAAATTAATATCAAACAATAGAAAATTATTTTTAATTAAATATTCTTAGGACAATAAATAATTTCCAATTGTCATGGAAAAAAATACATTTGCAAAACAAATTGTATTTATTTTAGTTGTTCATTTGCAAAAAAATTATAGAACTAAATTTCTTTGTTTAAATACAAATTCGAGTAAAAATTGTTGTTTTTACATAATTAGCGAAGGTAACTAGAAATTCTTTTTTTTTTTACAAATATAACGAAATATGTTTAAAATATTAAATCCTTACAGTATCACAAATTGTCCAAGCATTCCAATCAATCGATTAATTTCGAGTCTAATGAAAATAATAGAAAAAAAACGAAATAAAAATTAGAGAAGAAATTAGATAAATAACGAGGAAAATTGTATTTTTTTAAGAGAATTATTAGAGTTTTTGTAAAACATTTCTAGCAAGATCGGCAATTGGCGTTGGCGTAAGAAGAGGTGGAAGTGGTCCAGGATGATTTTTCCTATGTCTAAGAAGACTTGAACGTTGAGTAAAATCCTCATTGCACACATCACATTTATAAGGCCTTATACCAGCGTGCGTAAGTACGTGTTGATAAAAATTACTTCTTGAAATAAAAACTTTTTTACACACCCTACACGTCATTCCTGGTTTATGTTTGAGTTTATGATTCATCAATTGACTTGGTCCCGTTAATTCGAGGCCACATTCTTGACACGTATATCTCTCCTTGTGCATTAGCAAATGATTATCAAGTTTTGTTTTACTGCGAAATTTTTTAAAACACAAATTACATGGAAAATCCATATTTGTTTTACGTGAACGTTTTTGATGTCGCCATTCATGTCCTTTAACATCCTTAACGGCCTTACCACAAAATCGACAAATTTGAATATTACACATATGCGTACGGCCAATGTGAAGTAAAAGATCTAATTTTAATTTATATCTCTTACCACAATGATCGCACATAAATTTTGCCTCTGTTTCACTATGTACACGTATATGATGTTGTTTCAATCCTTCCTCACGTTTATATTTTAAATGACAAATTGAACATTCAAAATAAAAATCACTACTGTGAGTTTTTCGATGTTCCTCAAGGACACGTGCAGTAAAATATGATCTTCGACACATATCACATTTATATGGCCTTTTGTGTACGGCTCTCACGTGTTTTTCAACTTTTGCCTCATCTTTAAAACGTTTCTCACAAAATGGACATGTATTACGAAGATTATCAAGTACTTGATCGACGTCCTGAATGTTATTTGAATAAATTAATTGATTATCATCAATTTTATTAGTTGACTCAATTTTCACGTCAATACTCTCAAAATAGTCATCGTATTCTTTATAATTATTGTACAATATCGTTGGATGTGTCTTTTTTAATTCTCTCCTTGATTTTCGTCTCATCGTTGTTGTTGTTGTTGTTGTTGTGGCGTTTCCATCAGTTCTTCTTCTGAAACACGGACAGTCTATAGTCAGTGAATGAAATTTCTCGATTGTATTTTAAAGGAGAAGCTTTTTTTTTTGTATTCTAAAAAATAGTATATTATGTGGCAAGCACGTAAAGTAGTACTTTTTAGGTGAGGATGTAATTTTCAGTACGAGCTGTCGTTAGTGCGACGTAGGTGAGACGAAGGCGAGCTGTAGGTGAGATGAAGACGAGCCGAAGGCGAGTCGAGTCGAGCCGAAAGCGAGCCGAGTCGAACCGAAGTCGCACAGACAGCGAGTATTGAAATCATCCGAACCTAAAAATTACTACGTGCGAGCCACATACGCTATTTTTTTCGCCATTGTTATGAAAAAGTGAAACAATTTTAAAGAAAAAAAATAATAAAAATTGATAAATAAAATAAAAGCAAAAAAAAAAATTATGCAAAAATTAACAACTGCCTAAAAAAGACTTTATAGGGCAGTTTACTGCCTAAAAAAGACTTTATACGGCAGTTTGCTGCCTAAAAAAGTCTTTTTTAGGCAGTTGGCCCAAACTGCCTTAAAAAGTGCTACTTTATCTGCCCAAAACAGGCACAAAAAAGACACTTTTTCATGTCAATGGCGAAAAAAAATATTTTCTAATCTCTATTTTATATTTATTTCTTTTTCACATTTCTATTATTTTCTTCTGCTTTTCACCTGCTTTAAAAACAAAAGGTTAAAATTAATAAAAATCTGAAACAGAAATAGATTAAAATTAATTTAGAAATTATTTCTCATAAATTTATAGAAATTGGAGAAATTTGAAAAATTCAATTAAAATTAATTCATATTGCAATTTAAAATAATTGCATATTATTCTATTTAAGAAAAAAAAATTTAAAAAAACGGTATTAATGACATTTTGATTTTTATTAAAATTAATTTTTTTAATTTCACAACACGCAGGTATAAAAACGAAACAAAAAACGGAGTACAATAATTAATATTGAAATATTGTTATTTATTCGGGAAGCACAATAATATTTTATAATTAATTTTCTACAAAAGTAAATTTTTATAAAAAAAAAAAAAAAGAAACAGAATAATGTAGTTTTTCATTAATAACGAGCTAAATTAAATCCTTAAGGAATGATAATACGAAATTATTTTACAAAATACACAGCCTCGAAAATATGTATAACGTGAGGTTTTTTTTTTAATGTCAAATATTTTATTTAAAATATAATAAAATTCATTTTTTTTTAACAATTGAGGCCAATTAAGTGGTATTTTCAAATAATTGAAATTATTATTAAAATAATTTCTTTAATTAACTTTCTCAAATCTCATTTAAACATTTTTTTTTTCTTAAACTAATGTATTATTTTTAATTAGGCAAGAAATATAATATATTATGCAAAGACATTTTCTTTTAATTAATATTTTCCATATAAAAAAAAATTCCACTTTAAAAAAATTTTAACTAATTAATCAATATTAAAATTTTTAAATAAAAGTAAATTCACAATTTTTTCAAGTAAAAAAATGTTTAATGATAGTTTCCAAATAATTTTTCCACTGATAAATTATTTGTAACAAATTATAATTGTTACTTAAAAAGTTAAGTATATGAAAAAAAGTGATTTAAATAAAAAGATATATCGCGTTCTTTTAGACAACAATATCATTAAATATATAAAAATCTATTTATTTGAAAGGTTTTTTGTTTTTTGTTTTTTTTTTTTTGCACCAAATACATCTAGGCATCAACTGTATGAGTGCGCTCTAAATTCTTAATAACGTATAACTTCCATCGTGTAACCAATAAATTAATCGATCAATTAAATCGATTATTTTTAAATTTAATATCATTTACGTTAACATTCTCATCAATTTACTTCCATCAACATATAAATCACTCCAAAAAACAAATATAGAAAAAAATACATTTTCACGAACTTGTATAATAAATTCTTGGACGAAATGCGTTTTCACAAAAAAAAAAACGCAAAAAATAATTATCACAGGGGAGAGTGGAGTAAACTGACCTGATCAGTTTCTCTTAATTGGCTAAAATCATATTTATAATTTTGGAAAGTTTGCATTTTTTTTTTTTTTTTTTTTTTGAAATTAATGCAACTAAACAAGTGTTTCTGAAAAAAAAATTGAGAAATTAAAATTATCTTTCAATTAAGCCTTTATAAAATAAATTCGGTCTATTCTTTCGATCACTAGAGAGCAAAAATTAGTTAATATAGCCGGTTTTTTCCACTCTCCTCTAAATTACAAAAATATTCAATATTTCAGTACTAATTAATCTTCTAATGGATTTTATCAAATTTCCAATTTTTTTTCAATTTACCGTTACTAAATTTACTGTGACGAAACACCAGTTTCGAAATAAAAATTGCTGAATTATAAAAATCCACTAGAAAAACAAAAATTACTGAATTACACTGTAAATTATTAAATAAACATTGAGACATATGAATGTAATCTAAAGTCAATTAATTCGAATTGATTGATATAAACGCTTAGCGTCTTTTTCTTTTTGTAGAAAATATTCATTCTTCCTCGAAAAAAAAAATCACATTTTCTCGCGGGAAAAAAAACAACAACAACAAATTTTTAAACACATGTTGACTTCTGATGAGCGGTGAGATTTCCCTGACATGAAAAGCCACGATGACAAATTTTACAAACATATGGTCGTTCTCCAGTGTGTCCACGTCTATGAATTGTGAGTGTTGACCTTTGACTGAATGCCTTTGGACATTGATCGCATTTATATGGTTTCTCGCCAGTATGAACACGTCGATGCATTCGAAGATTTTCCGAATCAGTAAAACCCTTACCGCAAATATCGCAAACATATGGCTTTTCACCAGTATGAATACGTCGATGTTTCTTAAGATGTTCAGCGCTACTTAAACTTTTACCACAATAATCGCATAGATAAAGTTTTATTGGATTATGACTTTCTTTATGGCGAAATAATGATCTTTTTGTTGCAAGTACACGTCCACAAATATCGCACGCTGTACTTGTTACTTTATTTGCTTTCATTTCAGGATGCATACGACGACAATGCGCTGAGAGTTGTCGTCTAAGATAAAATGAATTGCCACAAATTTGACAAACAAATGGTTTATCACCTGAATGAATATTATAATGTTCCTGAAGATCAATTGCCTTACGAAAATATTTATCGCAATCAGTACATTTAAATGGAAGATCAGCTTTATCAGTGTGTCGTAACATATGAATACTGAGAGCTGCAAGAACAGTTGTCTCATAATCACATTCTTTGCACATATAACTTGGATAGAAATGTGTTTTTTCATGCCTCGTTAAATCGCGAAATAGACGAAATTTCTTCGGACAATGTTTACAAGTTAAATCGCCAACAGTGTGACGTAATAAATGTTTTTGATAATTGCTCTTGTGACGAAAAATTTTATTACACGTCTTGCAAATAAATTCCTCATCGGGTTTCTCTTCTTTTACTTTCAAAGGCGGTCGACCAACATTGCCGCCAGTTGTTCCTGGTTTTCGTCCTCTTCGTATCACGTGCTTTTTCATATGCTTCCGTAAATTCACGTACGTTCGAAAAACACGACCACAATGAGCACAAGTATTTTTTCGCTTACCCTTATGCTCCACCTCGTGATTGTCGAGTTGTTTTTGAGATTCAAAGGACATGGTACAATTTGAACAGTTGAAGGATTGTTCCTCTTCCTCCTCCTCTTCGTCTTCTTCTTCTTCATCATCATCATCATCATCTTCCTCATCAACGTTGACCTCCTTCTTAATATTACCTTTCGCCTTCTCCTCATTTGTTTTCGTTTTTCCCACTTCTGCATTGACAATTTTCTTCATTGGATCATCCTGCTTTTTAGACACTGCCATCGGATAATACTCATCCGGAATGGAAAGTTGATTGTATCTGAAATGTAAAAATTCGAGGACTACATCAGTCAGTGCCCTTTTAATTTCTCTTCCATATTAATGGTTTTTTTTTCCATTTTTGCTTTTATAAATGACAATCGACTCGTTATCCTTCAGAAAATATTTGCCTGTAAAAGGAATTTTTCTAAAAAAAAAAAAAAATATTACTGATTTTTATTCAAAGTGACATAGAGAAAAATAATAATGGCATAGAATTGACGAGTCGATAGTCAATTTTAAGGTGTTCAGCAACTTTTGAAAAAAATAAAATATTTTTTTTTTCAAAACTCATTTTTTAAAAATAATTTTAAACTTTGAAAAAAATAATCAAATTTAGCGAAATTTCAATTATATTTAAAATTCTTTTCATTTATTTACAATCGAAATTAAATATCTTAAATTTTATTCAAATTTTACAAAATTGAAAAATAAATTCAAGTAACAATAAATATTTTCAAAGGTCGCTGAACACTGTCAAATTTATTAAATTTTAATTTAATGCAATTTTTATAAAATCGCAAAGTATTAATTAAGTATTGCAAAAAAAATCCTACAATTACTGAAAAATTAGTAATAATTTATTTAGTAATAATAATAATTACCAATTATTGGTAATTATCAACTGATGATTTAAATAATTTGCAAATTATTTCTATAAATTCGTAATTTTACTGTTCTTTTATATAATTTTCCAAAAAAAAAGAAATATTACAAAAAAAAAATTCTGTAATAGTTATTTAAAAAAAAAAAACAGTAATTTAATGAATTTTCATCAATAACTTGAAAAGGAATTAATTTTTCAGCAATTAAATATTTTTTTTTAACCAGTTATTTTTCTCTATGCTAAATGATTCGATATTCTTTAAATTTTGAAATTGATTTCAAAAATTATTTCCATGAGAAAAAAAAAATAATAAAAACTTATTTCTATTTTAACGAGAAATAGATTTTTATACAAAAAAAAAAAAATATTTATAAAAACCAAAATTTTAAATTATTGCGCCGATTTTTGTTTTTATATTCAAAAATTCTTTATTATTTTTCTTCTAAATTACAATATGTTGATATTACATTTCTCGTGAGATTAAAATTATTTATCATTATAAAATATAATATAGTATAAAAAAATAAGTGTTTTACAAGTTTTATAAAACTATTTTAAAAAACAAATTAAAAAAATGATTTTTTTTAAAAAATAATTTATTTCAATGAAAGTAAAAATTTACTATAATAAATTTCTAATTGATATTAATATAAATTATCTCTATTTCTTTCGGTTAAAAACATAAAAAAAAATTTCACTAAGCGTTTTCAACTTTTGGAATATGAATTTTATTATGTGAATTAAGTGAAGCTCTCGAGACAAAAGATTTGTCACAATTATTGCAATGATAGGGTCGTTGTCCGGTATGATAACGTTTATGTATAACTAATGTAGAATGTTGAGTAAATGATTTTCCACATGTATCACAGGTATATGGCTTCTCGCCAGTGTGCGTACGTTTATGAACAACGAGTGTTGTTCTTTTATGAAAAGCCTTGCCGCAAATATCGCAAATTAATAATTTCTCGCCACCATGAAGTCGAAGATGATCCTGAAGTGATCCACGTGACGATACTGATTTTCCACAAAGATGACAATCATATTTATTTTCACCAGTGTGCGATTTCACATGAACGACAAGTGAATTTTTATAGGCAAATGTTTTACCACAAAATTCACATTGATGTTTCATTGGTTTAAAATTGGGATCATGAATTTTTAAATGACGTACAAGTGTATGATTATTTGGAAATGATTTTCCACAAATATGACAAACATGTTCCTTTGCATTATGTTTAACATTCATATGTCCATGAAGTTCAGAATTTGTGAAAAATCCTTTATTACATATTTCACAGTGTCTTGTATATTTTTCAAAATGTCTTCTATGATGTGTTGCAAGTTGTGATGCTTGAACAAAACTACGACCACAAACATCGCAAATAAAATTTCTTTCACGCGTATGAATTCGTCGATGTACAGAAAGTGTACTTGAACGTTTAAAATATTTTCCACAAACATCACATTCAAATGGACGTATCTCACTGTGCGCCACCATATGTCCATCAAATAAATTTCTTGCCTTAAATTCTCTTGAGCATATTTTACATTGATAGTGATTATTTTTTTCTTTTGATTTTTTAATTTTTGTCACATTCATTGAAATTTTCCCTGAAGAAGATAATTTCTGCTCTAATAATTTTTGATTAATTTTCTTCTTCTGCAAGGGTTTTAAATTGAGATAATTGGCCAATTCATTATTGTTTGATGATTTTTTTTTATCATATTTGTCGGCTTGCATATTTTCATCCATGATTTTTGTAATATCCTGCCATCTGGAAATAAAATGGAAAAAACGTGGTCAGTCCGATATTAATCTTCCTCTTCCAAAAATGTAGCTATTTAAGATTTATAAAACATCTTGAAAAAAGATTTGCTTCAATTTTTCATACTCCAGAGACTTTTAGGGAGTTATATTCCTAAAAAAAAATTTTGTTTTAAAAAAAAGTTTTTCAACTTTTTGCAGAAAGAATTATTTTTCTTTTTACACGATTTAAAAAAAAAAATTTAGTTATATTGATTTACTTTTTGTAAAAATTTTTACTATGATATAAAAGAAATCTTAATCATTTTTTTTTATTTTTCAATATTATGACTAATATTTGAATTCGAAGTAAAATATTGATCACCCTTAAAAATTTGAGTGCAATCGATTACAATCGATTTTAATTAGGCCGAGTCGCTTTTATTTTTGATGCCTATATACAAATTATCGCCGACAGACAGAATTTTTATTTTTCTTTGCATATTTGGAATAAATTTTCAAGATTTCAAAAATTTATTTATACTTTTTATACAGAAAGAAACGTAAATTTTGTAAATAGATTATTTTATACTTTTTTTTACTAATTTATTTTAATAATTTCAATTTATTTTATTAAAAAATGGAAAAAATTGAAATTTGAAAAATAGGTGACAACATTTTTGTTAAAAAAAAGGTGATCCCAGAAAGTATAATGCAAAATAATTTTACAAAATTAAAAACTTCTGTAATAAAAATAATTAAAAAAAAAAAGACACAAAAATACAAAAAAAAAATTAAAAAACATCTTAATTTCTTAAACTTACCTCAGGTAAAAAAAAGGAAAAGACGTTAAAAAATATTTTTTGTAATTTGAAAGGGATTTTTTTTATTAAACCAACACAAATGGTTATTATTATAACAATTTATTTAGAGACTTATATAAATGACAGTCAAAGAATATAACAAAAATAAGTTTCACATAAATATTTTTCAATGAAAAAAAAAAAAATAGATATTCATTAAATTTCGACATTTTCGCAAAAAGATTGTTTTGATTTTACAACAATACGTTTCGAGAACTTATTTTTTGTAACAATAGGTTTTTTTTTATAATAACAATAGATTTTCTGCTATAGAAAAAAGGTAAATTCGACGCCTCCCGTTGATAAGATGCCCGTTCATTTGTCAGAATAATAAAATGCCAACTCGAGCTCAGTTCAATATGAAGCTAGTTCAATTGTCAAAATAATAAAAGGCTATCTCAGTTTCAGAATAATATAATCCTATCTCGCATTAAATTCGAATTCAAGTTTTCGTAAATTAAAAAAAAAGTTTAAGTCGATCAGAATATTAATTCATACTTTTTAATGATTAATTAGTGATTAATAATTATTAATAAAATAAGAAATAGAATAAAAAACAAATAATAAAATAAATGAAAATAAAAAATATTATTAAAAAAGAAAAAAATTAATTTAGCCTTGAATTATTTATTACTAATATTATTTTTTTTATTATAATTTTTTTATTAATTTTTTTATTTTGTTAATCATTAATTAATCATTACAAAATATTAAATAATATTCCGATCGAGTTAAAAATATTCAAGTTTTCGTAAAATAAAAAATTTTTAACTCGATCGGAATATTATTTAATATTTTGTAATGATTAATTAATGATTAACAAAATAAAAAAATTAATAAAAAAATTATAATAAAAAAAATAATATTAGTAATAAATAATTCAAGGCTAAATTAATTTTTTTCTTTTTTAATAATATTTTTTATTTTCATTTATTTTATTATTTGTTTTTTATTCTATTTCTTATTTTATTAATAATTATTAATCACTAATTAATCATTAAAAAGTATGAATTAATATTCTGATCGACTTAAACTTTTTTTTTAATTTACGAAAACTTGAATTCGAATTTAATGCGAGATAGGATTATATTATTCTGAAACTGAGATAGCCTTTTATTATTTTGACAATTGAACTAGCTTCATATTGAACTGAGCTCGAGTTGGCATTTTATTATTCTGACAAATGAACGGGCATCTTATCAACGGGAGGCGTCGAATTTATCTTTAATAAAAAAAATATTTTTCACTCTTTAAATTTTTTGTTAAATCAATTTTTTTAATTCCTATAAATTAATTTATTAGTAAATTCGTGTTGTCTTAATAATTGTATTCAATACATAGAACTAAACTTATTTATTTAAATGAAAAATGGTTTTATTAAAATTTAAGAAGTTTTTTTTTTATTTTAAAACTATGTTAATCAGTCAAATATATTTTCAAATAGCAATTAGAGAAATAGAAAAAAAAAGATTGTTATTGCAATGAAAAGTTGCAATAAAAAAAAATAAATGTAATTTTACTCTCTAAAGAATTCGTTCATTCAATTAAATTAAAAATTTAGAGAATAATTAACTGCATATATTAAGGATTTGTTTATCACGATTTTAACTGATTTTATATGATATTGGAAAATTTCGATTATAAAATTTTCCATTCTTAAAGATCTTAGATATTTTAAAAATATTAACTTATAAATAAAAAATTTTTTCATTTACGTTCATGTGACTTCATATGAGAATTCAATGAGCCATGTTGTGTGAAACGTTTTTGACAAATTTTACATTCAT